ACGTGACTCTTTGCAGGAAAACTTGCTGACCCTTGGATTAGGTCATATATAATTTCCTAAAATGTAGACCTCATCTTGTCATTCCCCAGTTTATAACCCCTCGGGGCAACCCAAAGATAAGGTGGACTGGCGCCTTACCGGTACAGGGCCTAACAAGTTCTGCTGGTTTGGCTGACCTTTCCAATTTCGTTTCTACCTCACACTCAATGGTTCAGCCATTCTGGACTACTTTCTTATATGTGCCTGTATTTGTTTGCTGTTGTTCTTGTAAAACAAATGGCCACAAATTTAGTGGCTTAAAACAAAACAAGATGTATTATTTCATAGTCCCGGAGGTCAGAAGTTCAAAAGAACAATTTTATTTTTCTTGGACTGAACTCAGGGTGTTAGCAAGGCTGTTCCTTCTGGAGGGTCTAAGGGAGAATCCCAAGAAATGTCCCCTTGCCTTTTTCAGCTTCTAGGGGCTGCCTGCATTCCTCGGTCCATGGGCTGTTGTTCCATTTGCAAAGCCAGCCTTGGAGCATTTTCCAGTCTCCGTGGCTCTGATCTACCACCACCTTCCTTTTTCTTGTAAAAAGACCCTGTGATTACATTGGGCTACCCGAATAACCCAAGATAACCTTTTAATTTTAAGAGCCTTAATTTAATCACACCTGCAAAGTCCTTTTTGCCATGTGAGGTAACATATTCACAAATTCTAGGGGTTAGGATGTGAACATCTTTTGGGTGGGCATTATTTTGCCTACCACAGTGCTTCACTCTGTCCAGATGGGGTCTTCACTATTTATTTAAACTGAAAAGGGACTGGGCCAGAGTGGGTCTGCCTTGGGCTGGCCAGTAGTGTGTCTGTGCAGGAATGATTTCACGACACAAATCCAGGTGATTTCGAGAGGACATTTGTTAAAGTTGGGGACAGTGAAACAAAGGAAAGGCTTAGGGTAGGAGAAGCAACAGGAGAGAGCCTAGCAGTGCTCTGCTTTGGCTCTCCAGAAACATTATGGGAAAGAAGTGAGCCGAAGCGGGGCTGCTGTTAGCTCCCTGAAAAGTCAGAGAAAAGGGGGCCTTGGTTCATGAGGTTAACCTGGGACAAGCTGCTACTGCCCATTGCTCCCCTGGTTGCAAATCTTGTGGGGACCTTAGAGTTTAGGAGAGAAAAGTGGAGATGTATACCTGAGAGGGAAGAAGGGTGTGGGAGTGCCCCAGAGAGAGCCAGTGATGGGCCTTTGTCTTGAGGGTTTTTATCTGTTTTCTTTTTAATTTTTATTTGATTCTTAGAGAGAGAGGGGGAAAGGGGGAGAGAGAGAGAGAGGGAGGGAGGGAGGGAGAGAAACATCAATATATTATTCTATTTATTTATGCATTCACTGCTTGATTCTTATATGGGCTTTAACTGAGATAGAACCCACAATCTTGGGGTGTCAGGACAGTGCTCTAACCAACTGAACTACCCAGCCAGGACTTCTTATCTGATTTCTAAAGGCAGGAATTTTAGGGGGAGTCTTACGGGAGGATATCAATATTCATCAGCTTTAAGCTGATTTACCAAAATCAGATTTATTTCCCTGACTTCATCCGTCCTTGGGTGTGGTTAGCACAAATGGCACTAATTGGGTGTCTGTTATTTGTCTCTCTGAGTGAGGTAATTTAAGCTATTTACCCTCCGGTTGGGAAGGAGAAGTGTAAACCATTTACTACTGAGTGTTCTTGCTTCAGGAAGATAGGATTTTTCGATTTGCTGGATGGCTGTAAACTGCTTGGCCATTTCAGTTTCCCTGTTCCATTTGTCCTGGCTTTCTAGCCTGTCTCAGTATCTTGTTTTACACTTGCACTTCTTCCGTGAGATTAAATTATTTTAGTGTTTACACCAGAGTCATATTGTACCCAAATGTTAGGTTCTAAAATTTACCTACTAAGGCAAAAGACATTGTTCTGTTCTATTCTATACCATTCTATTTTTTTTAATGCTGATTACCCTGTAAATTGATCTCACAATCCACTAATGGATCATAACCCATAGTTTCAAAACATTGTCTTAAATCATTCATAAAATATTAATAGTATTTTCTGTAGCTGATATTATCAGTTCCTCTAACTCTCTATCAGTGTTTCTCTGTGGATCATAATTAATTCTGCAGTTTGTTTCTTGAAGACAAAGCCATTCCAGCCCACTTGGTAAGACCATCTGAACAACGCTCTTCATTGCCGGGGACATATGCTTGTTGTGGGGAATACACCTTTCTCTTTTTTCTTGAGCATTTGCAATCAGATTTGCATAAATCAAACCTAACTAATAATTTGAATCTACCTAATTAGCTTCTTGTAATTCCTAATCTAGACATCGTATTTTTGGACTGTTTAATCTGTTCAGTACATCCAAGTTTTTCTCACCCCTTTTGTGTAAGCTTCACGTGTTATATACCATCACTATCGGGCGATTGAATACATAACAACAGACAACAGACAGACCACGTGTGATGATAGAGTTCTGTCCCACATGCAGCCCCTGCAGCAACTGGCCCAGAATGGTCAGGACTTGATGACTGTCAGGTTCTCTGTTTCTTTGCTCCTTCTCCCCAGTTTCCAACTCAGGACTCACCAGAAAAAGCCAAATATGCTCCCCAAACTGATCACATAAGCTTCCCTGTTTCTAGTCAGCCCGCCACCAGCTTCTTTGTGCCAAAGATCTCCAACCAGAGTGAGCCTGAAACCTACCCTTTCCACCACAAGGCTTTCCCGCCCCTGACAGTCTTTGAGTCGCTGCCAAAAGCATGCAATGGTGGTGCCTCCCTTGCTCAGCAAGCTCTGAGTTCTCATTTGGGCAGGCGTTCATTTCCACACTGCATTTGTTGCAAATTATTTTCACACTTGGTTGTTTATCTCTGATTTTTTATGATGTTATGATTTTATGATGCTTTTTAACATGTGTTCTAAAATTTTATGTAACCAGATCTACTTCACACTTCGGTTTTTGAGACTTTCCATTGCTCTTTTGCTTGGCACATCTTCCTCAAAAGATGGTGAGGTGAATTCATACACTGGTGAATGCTCCTCCCTCAATCCCAACAAGAGACAATAAGGGGGGAAGGGTATTAACCCCCAAGAAAAGGACAAAGAGAACAGGTGAAAACCCCTTTCCCATCCAGCTAATTCCCTTTCCTTGCCCCCCCCTCCCCCCATAGAATAGTGACAGTCTGGATTGTGTTTTCAAGGCAGGAGGTTGGGAGTGTCTTGCCTGAACAATAATTATAGCAAGAATAGCTAATGTTTATTTAGTACTAACTATGTGCCAGATATTGTCTTATATACATTTACTCATTTAATTCTCACATTAACTCTATGACGTAGGCACTAGTATTATCTGCATTTTACAGATAAAGAAACTAAGGCCCAGAGAGGTTAGGAAATTAGCAAATGAGTGGTAGACCCTGCACTGGAACAGAAGTAGTTGGGCTTCAGTCTCTACTCTTAATAATTGCCTTACTGTCTCTTTTTACGGAAAGACCTAAAGATACTGACATGAAGGGTTTCCCGTAAAACAGTTCCTCCAGATCATTCTATGATGAAGCCCCTAGTTGAAAAGCCCCCCTCACACAGAACTTACTTCTTTTTTAATTTAAATATATTATTGTTTATACTATTACAGTTGTCCCAATTTTTCCGCCCTTGCCCTCCTCCACCCAGCCCACCCCCATTCCACTGTCAATCCCCACACCATTGTCCATGTCCATGGGTCATTCATATATGTCCTTTGAATCAACACTTCACCTTCTTTCAATCAGTCCCCACCTTCCCCTTCCCTCTTACAGCTGTCAGTCTGTTCTATGTTTCTATACCTCTGGTTCTATTTTGCTTGTTAGTTTATTTTGTTCACTAGAGTCCACTTATAAGTGAGATCACATCTTATTTGCCTTTTATCTACTGGCTTATTTCACTTAGCATAATAGTCTCCAGTTTCATTCATGCTGTTGCAAAAGGTAAGAATTTCTTCTTTTTTCACTGTTGCTTAGCATTCCATTGCATAAATGTACCACAGTTTTTTATCCACTCATCTACTGATGGGCACTTAGGCTGTTTCCAAATCTTAGCTATTGTAAACATCATAGCTATGAACATGAAGTGCATATATTTCTTCTGAATGGGTGTTTTGGGATTCTTTGGATATATTCCCAGCAGTGGAATTGCTGGGTCAAAAGGCAGTTCCATCTTTAGTTTTTTGAGGAAACTCCATACTGTTTTCCACAGTGGTTGCAGCCTGCATTCCCACCAACAGTGCACTAGGGTTCCCTTTTCTCCACATTCTCGCCAGCACTTGTTTGTTGATTTATTAATGATAGCCATTTTGACAGATACGAGGCGATATCTCATTGTGGTTTTAATGTGCATTCTCTAATGGCTAGTGATGTTGAGCATCCTTTCATAGAATGCTTGATGTTGAGCCTATTGGCCCTCTGTATGTCCTCCTTGGAGAAGTGTGTAGTCAGGTCCTTTGCCAATTATTTAATTGGATTGTTTGTCTTCCTGGTGTTGAGTTGTATAAGTTCTTTATATATTTTGGATATTAAACCCTTGTTCAATGTATCATTGGCCAATATGTTCTCCCAAACAGTGGGCTTCCTTTTCATTTTGATAATGGTTTCTTTAGCTGTGCAAAAGCTTTTTAAAAAGCAAAAGCTTTGATATAGTCCCATTTTTAAATTTTTTCCCTTGTTTCCCTTCAACCTCTTTTTTGAAAGGTATTTATTTATTTATTTATTTATTTATTTATTTATTGGGAGAGAAGAAGGGAGGAAGGAAGAGAGGGAGAGAAACATTGACATGAGAGAGAAATAGCAATTGGCTGCCTCCCATGTGTGTTTGGACTAGGGATGGTATGCACTGAGACCTGGAATCGATCCTGCAACCTAGTTATGTACCCCACCAGGAATCAAACCTGCAGCCTTTTGGGTACAGGATGAGGCTCCAACCAACTAAGCCATACCAGCCAGGGCTTCATTTCCTTAAAAAAAATGGAATTCTTCACGAATTTGTGTGTCATCCCTGTGCAGGGGCCACATTGATCTCTGTGTCATTCCAGTTTTTAGTAGATGTGCTGCCGAAGAGAGCACTTAAATGTTAGTTCTATTCCATTGCTTTGTTTTCTTCTTCAGGGACTCCAATCATGTGAATGACTGCCCTTTACATGTATTCTATTTTTTCCCCTCCCCTTTTTTCTTCTTTCTTTATTTTCATATTTACAGTTGTTTTCCTGCCTTCCTTTCCAGTTAAGCTCTCATCTTAAGTTTATCTTTTTCTCTCTCTTTTTAAAAACAGCTTTTTATAAATAAGACATTCAAAGGTGTTGACCCACTACATAAAGAAACCTACATTACAGGAAAATATACCGCCCTGGCCAGGCAGCTCAGATGGTTAGAGCACTCTCCCAATACGCCAAGGTTGCCGCTGGGATTCCCTGTCAGGGCACATACAAGAATCAACCAGTGAATATATCAATAAGTGGAATAACAAATTGATGTTTCTCTCTCTCCTTCTCTCTAAAAATCAATAAATTTAAAAAAAGAAAAGTATACAAATTTTGGTAAGAGTTTAAACTCTGAGAGATTCAAGCCTGATGCCAACCTTTTACATTTCTATAGCTTCAATTCCAAAGGACCAATGGGTAACAGTTTTGGGGCACAACACCCCACTATCCTGTACAATTTCTGTTCTCCTGGGTCAAACAGCTTTATGCTGCTTCACAAACCCCTTGTTTGCTCCTTGATGGATCTTAGAATCCAGTCTCTAGACTTTTGGATTTCCTTTATTAGGAAACTTCACAATCATTTCCTGGGGATTCATACAGGCGAAAACAAATGGTGAGTCAGATTCTTGACTCGTGTCTGATTTTTTTTTTTTTTTTTGAAGCTTCTCAAAGCCTCCCCACCCACCTCCTGCCGGGCTGAGCTGGGAGTTAGGTCCCCTCCCTTGTGCATTCTTTTGTTTGTCTGGTAACATCATGGTTGGGTTTTCTTGTTTCGGTCTCCTCTAGCAGGCTTAAAGATCTTTCCATTTTCCTTCGCTGCTTGTTCTTCTTCTCTCAACAAACTGGTTTGCTATTACTCTCTGTACAAGCCCATTACTTCCCACCTCACATCATTTCCTCTCCTTGGAATATGCTTGTCAACCATCTAAATAGGAAGACTTCCTTTCTCTTCCTTTTCTTAAGTGTAGTACCTAATGACCTTTAAAAATACCTTTTAAAAATGCAGCCATGTAACTACCACCTAGGTCAAGTTTCAGCATCCCAGGCACCCCTTCATCCCTCTATCAGTCGGTACTTCCTTCCCTCAGTCACTGCTGCCCCATCAAAGACAACTTCTTTTCTGACTTCTGTCCTTGTTAGTTTTGCCCTTTCTTGGTATTCATATATATGAAATCACACAGTATGTAATCTTTTGTTCTGTTTTTTTTAAAGATTTTATTTATTTATTTTTAGAGAGATAGGAAGGGAAAGAGAAAGAGAGGGAGGGAAACATCAATGTGTGGTTGCCTCTCGAATGCCCCCTGCTAGGGACCTTGGCCTGCAACCCAGGCATGTGCCCTGACTGGAAGTCAAACCAGCAACCCTTTGGTTCATAAGCCAGTACTCAATCCACTGAGCCATACCAGCCAGGGTATGTTCTGGCTTTTTTTAAAAAAGATTTTTAAAATTTATTTTTAGAGAGAGGGGGAGGGAGGGAGAAAGACAGGGAAAGAAACACCAATGTGTGGTTACCTCTGACAATTCCCCAACTGGCGACCTGGCCCACAACCCAGGTATGTGCCCTGACAGGGAATCGAACTGGTAACTTCCAGTTCACAGGCCAGCACTAAATCCACTGAGCCATACAAGCCAAGGTGTGCCTGACTTCTTTCACTCAATATTATGTATATAAGATTCAATGAGTATAGCACTGTATAGATTTCATGTTTTCATGTTTTATTTTATTGCTGACAACAAGTATTCCCTAAGCAACTACTATCTGCTGGGCTTTACGACAACAATCTTGAATAACAAGGACCATGGCTAATTGTATATCCTTTTGATGCCCTGCATGATTAGCATTCTATACACAGAAAAATATAAAACTGGACAGTGAGAATGCTTCTAATCATCACCCCCAGAGACTTGCAGAAGCTATACATTATAGTTATTAGGATGATGCCTGGGACAGAGGCGAGACTGTCTTTAATGTAAAGCAGAGTTTGAAAACTTTTGCATCTGAATCATGTGAAAGACGTAATGAAACACAGTTTGTGGGAGGGGGCCCAATCCCCAAAGTTTCTCATTCAGGAGGTCTTAGGTCTTGCATTTCTAACAAGTTCCCAGGGGATACTGATGCTTAAGGTTTGGGGACCACAACTGGAAAACCACTGCTTCAAGGTACCAGGTTTACAGAACTTGGTGTGGTTCTCTCACAGACCCCTACTATCACCCTCATCAGTGGCAGCCCACAGCTCCTGCATCTCCTCTGGGAAAGCCTGAGGCCAGTTCAGGTCACTTCTGCTTGTGCCAGGCACCTGTGTTCAAGATGTCTTGTCGGATGTCTCTGGGTGCTGAACTGCCATGGAGGAAGCTAGGCTCAGGAGAGCAATGCAGTCACTTACGCTGCTTCTTCATGTTGTCAACCACATAGTAATCTTCAAAATTGTTAAGGATGGACATTTGGTCCAGGTCAACATCTAGCTTAAGAAGTCTCTGGTGACCACCCTTAGCTGGACATCCAGGATGCCCTGAGGTGAAGGAGAACTTTTTCTGTTGGGGTAGAGGGCAGCAGAACCTTCCAGGGGCTATAAGTTCTGGAATTTATCAGACAGATGGGACAACAGGCTGTCGAAGGACATACCAGAAAATTCAGTGACTTCAGAGACCTGGGAGCGTGTGCCAAGTGCATGAGGCTCTCTGTGGCATGACAGTCCAGTTTGCCATTCTCCTCCAGGTCTGTCATCTGTCTTCCCTGCTCCTGCCAAAGGCCCTCCTCTCTAAGGGTTGATTCTCCTGGTGAAAAGACAGCCTCCACAGGGTGGTTTCCAGGTCTTGGGATCCAGGTGTGCCTGGGATTCTCTGCATCTTTCCTGCTCCCCCCTGCCCCAGCTCCCCCTCTTTCTGTTTGTATTAGATTCTCTGCTTCACCCCAACTGGTGTGGCTTGGTTGGTTGGGCATCGTCCTGCAAGGCAAAGGTTCACCGGTTCAATTCCCAGTCAGGGCACATGCCTGGGCTGCGGGTTCAGTCCCCAGTCAGGTTGTGTGCACATTGATGTTTCTCTCCCTCTCTTCCCCTCTCTCTAAAAATAAATAAATAAAATCTTAAAAAATAATAAAAAAAGTCTTTTGCTTAATTTTTTGGTGTTCATTAACCAGATGGGAAGACTTGTTTTAGGATGCTACTGCTGTCAACGACAGATGACATTGTCAATGCCACTCTGTGGAAGCTGGATGGGAGGTGAGGATGCTGATCCACTGGACATGGCGGGATTCCCAGCCGAGGGCTGCGTGGAGCCTGGGAGGCTCTGGAGGAAGGGGACAGCACCTGCCTCTTGAGGACTTAGTTGATATTCCTTGCAGTCTCAAGGAGGTGTCTCTGGTGGGTTATGCCTGGAGATTGTACTTCTTCCAAATGCTGTTCCTTGACCTGTTGCCAAGTTGCTCACGAGCAACAGGTTCAGCAAGGGCCAAGATGCTTGACATGGTCCATTTAGGGTTTGGGGGATTTTCATTTTTTCTTGGGTCACATGAAACATCTCCATACACCTTACACTCTACACACTTGTCCTTCAGCTACAGAGCTTATCTACTGCTGGGCACATTGAAGAAGCCCGTAGAGCTGGGGAAATATTATCTGGAATGAATCCTTTCCTAATTAGGCCTAATTCCAGATAATAGTTGAAGTGGAAGGCCGTTCCAATCCACAAACCAAAACTCTTTCATTTTTGAGAAAAATGAGATGGCTCTTCAACAGATTCAATTTAAGAAATTAGGTGGCTGTTAAAATTGGCTGAGTGCCTGGATTTCAGAGAGTGATGATTATGCAGGCCTGAAGAGGATTTGTCGGTACAAGCTGAGGCCCTTCAGCGGGGCCATTATACTTGAATGAGCCCAGCGGTGCACAGTGCCACCCAGTGGTTAGCTTGCATCACAAAGGTCTTCCTTATGAAAAGTTTGTGGCAGCAGAGAGGGGCTGCCCTGCAAGCAGGCAGATAAAAACCTGCAGAATGATCTGTAACAGCGATTTTCAACACTTCTCATCTCATGGCACACATAAACGGATTACTAAGATTCTGAAGCACACCAAAAAATATGTTACCATATTTTGTCATGTATAATGTGCTGCTATGTATAAAGCACGCCATGTTTTTGGCCCAAATGTTCAGGAAAAAAACTTTTGTTTTAATTTTTAGTTAATTAAATTAATTAATTAATATTCAGATACTTGCCTTTTGAATTGTGTGGGAATTTTAACATTTATTTTTGAACATATGGATATCATTATTGCTTCCTAGAGTTACACTTTTAACGCATAAGCATAAATAAAATAATTAAGAAGATGGTTATGTAGGCAGACACAGCCTGCCTCCTCCCACAACAACACCAAATTACAACCAAAATATAGGACAACCATCACTCAGAAACATCAGGAATTGAGTTGAGTGGAAGTCTGACCACTACAGAATTGAAGAAACCACATCCATCCAGACCAGTAGTAGAGGCACGGAGGTGGAACAGGCTGGTCCCACACTCACATGGATAAAAATTCAGGAGGGATATCTTGGGAGCTAGGAGTCCGAGACCCATACCAGGCCCCCCAGCCCAAGGTTCCAGTGCCAGGAAGATAAGTCCCCACTTCTGGCTGCAAAAACTAGTGGGAATTGAATAAGTTGAGGAGGCGAGGAAGGAGGATGTAAGTTGAGAAGGCTGTAAGTTGAGGAGGAGACCTAAGCAGTTCCTCTCGGAGAACCCACACACAGATTCACCTACTCATACTGTCTCTCTCTGAGCTCCAGCACCAGGGTGGCAGCTTGAAGGGCACCAGTGGTATACAGGGAAAGACTGAAGTGTCTGCCATCAAGGCAAACAGAGGCCATTGTCCC